AATTCCACAGCCTGTATGATGCATCATCTAACAACCAGCGGTGCACAGAACGTGTTTTACTAGCAGTGTTCACTGCCACAGCCTGTATGATGCATCATCTAGCAACCAGCGGCGCACAACGTATTTTACCATCAGTGCTGACTTCCACAGCCTGTATGATGCATCATCTAACAACAATCGGTGCACAACGTGTTTAACCATCAGTGTTGACTTCCACAGCCTGTATGATGCATCATCTAACAACCAGCGGCGCACACAACGTGTTTTACTAGCAGTGTTGACTTCCACAGCATGTATGATGCATCATCTCACAACCAGCGGTGCACAGAACGTGTTCTACTAGCAGTGTTGACTGCCACAGCCTGTATTATGCATCATCTAACAACAATCGGTGCACAACGTGTTTTACTAGCTTTGTTGACTTCCACAGCGTGTATGATGCATCATCTAACAACCAGCGGCGCACAACGTATTTAACCATCAGTTTTGACTTCCACAGCGTGTATGATGCATCATCTAACAACCAGCGGTGCACAGAACGTGTTTTACTAGCAGTGTTGACTTCCACAGCCTGTATGATGCATCATCTAACAACCAGCGGTGCACAGAACGTGTTTAACCATCAGTGTTGACTTCCACAGCCTGTATGATGCATCATCTAACAACCAACCGTGCACACTGTGTCTTTTTGAAGCAGTCTTGACTTCTACAGCCTGTATGATGCATCATCTAACAACCAGCGGCGCACAACGTATTTTACCATCAGTTTTGACTTCCGCAGCCTGTATGATGCATCATCTAACAACAATCGGTGCACAACGTGTTTAACCATCAGTGTTGACTTCCACAGCCTGTATGATGCATCATCTAACAACAAGCGGTGCACACAACTTGTTTTCCTACCAGTGTTGACTTCCACAGCCTGTCACAGCAAAAAAAATGCAGTTTCCGGTATCCGGATACCTGCCGGATACCACCGGACACTTACCCAAAACGCGTCCGGGTATCCGGTGGCAGATACCTTGCCGGATACCAGATCCGTGGTATCCGGCATGGACACCTCACCTGAAAGTATGCCACCTGGAATCCGGGTATCCGGCACCGGATACCTCACCGGATACCTCAATCTGGGTGTCCAAGGATCCGCACCGGATACCAAGAATCCGGCACCGGATACCTCATCCTGAGTTTCCAAAAACATGTCACAATTTGGGGGTGCATTTTGTTCAATTAAGTGTGAAACACCTAAATATATATTGGAAACTAACCATGAAAATTGAACATTGCTGAAGGTATCCGGCAGGTATCCGGCAGGTATCCGGATGCAATTTTTCGAGATGTCTTATTTCTGGTAAATAATGTTAGCCTGGGCATATCAGATAGCTGTAGTAATAATCTGTGTCATTTTAGTTGTAAATATCCCCTTAAAGTTGAGATTTATGGGCATGTACTTTTGGAGAAGACAATTTTTTTCAATTTCATCTATAATTCTTTTTAGATGTTAAGCTGTTTAATGAACAAACATCAGTTCTAATACATGTATGATGATATCCTTAAATTTCATGTTCAGACTTCCAGATTATTCTGAGTGAAAGTATAAACTCATCGACTGTGTGCTCACTTGGGCCTTTGGTCCTAGTGAGATGATAATATGATTATTTGTAAAGGTACAAGTACTTGTTATGAGCATACCAGCTTCATTTAAGTTTGAAACACAATATGCCTCACTCTGAGGGTGACATGTACCAGATTTCATCACACTACAGAGAGCTGTTCCTCAGTTACTGTGAACATTTTTACTGAAAGACATTGAAAGCTAATTTGACCTTCAATATCAGTTGCGACTATTTTAAAAACAATTGTAAAGTGCTTCATTCAGTGTAATATTGACAAACATATGACAATGATATACAACTATGTGTATAAGAGTTATTTAGACTTCTGCGGGAAAAGGCACATTAGAGAACAAGAGTCATCAGAAAGATGACATATCCCCCCGGCAGCTGTCTGTAAAGTAACCACTAGTGCATTTCTGTATGTAATGAGTCAACAGTTGAATGTTCTTTAAGAAGCATACATTGTTTACCAACAAAAGATCCACCATGGTCGCATCCATATGAATGCCAAGTTTCGATCAAATACATTGAATGTTTTTCGAATTCTGCCCCAGAAATGAACCTCATCCCCAATTGAGTCTATGTCCAACTTGATTCCATTAAAAAAAAATAAAAAATAAAAATTAGAAAAATCCCAAAATTTGAAAGGCACCACTTCAGTATGTGCATGATAGCTTTGCCAAGTTTCGATCAAATACACTGAATGGTTTTCGAATTCTGCCCCGGAAACGAACCCAATCCCCAATTGAGTCTATGTCCAACGTCATTCCATAAAAATTTTAAAAAATAAAAATTAGAAAAATCCCAAAATATCAAAAGGCACCACTTCAGTATGTGCCTGATAAGAGTTGCCAAGTTTTGATCAAATACACTTAATGGTTTTCGAATTCTGCCCCGGAAACGAACCCAATCCCCAATTGAGTCTATGTCCAACGTCATTCCATAAAAATTTTAAAAAATAAAAATTAGAAAAATCCCAAAATATCAAAAGGCACCACTTCAGTATGTGCCTGATAAGAGTTGCCAAGTTTCGATCAAATACACTGAATGGTTTGGGAATCCTGCCCCGGAAAAGGAAATGATTACGGACGGACAGACGGACAGACAGGCTGATCACTATATCCCCCGTATTATATGCCGGGGGATAAAAAGTAAGTGTATGACCTGTTGCCAACTTCTATCCCTGCCCTAAGGAAGAGTTTGGCCATTAACAATTTTTTTGTCTGGCTGTGACATTGACCTTTGACATAGCAGATCAATGTGTTATTCCAAAGATGTCCAAGCAATGCATGGTTTTATACGATAACTGTGGCTATCAAACTGAGGCAAAATATTGGAAAATCCCCATTTACACAGCGGGCTAAAGAAACAAACAACAAACAAATTATCAATTTCTTTTATTTATATGCATATATCACACATTGAACAGTGTTCATGTAATGGTTCCTGATGCAGTATGCACTTTCCTCCTATTCTTCAATACTCATAACAGAGCGGGATAACTGTTCGCTTGAAAGCATCAGCAGACCATGCTCACCAGTTCAGAGTTACTTGCCCTCAAACATCCTTTTCCTTCTATATTGCCATGGAAAAACAGGAACCAGGATGAGGGGAGGCCAGATGGGCTCTATCCCTGTTGCATTGTGTTAGTAGAATTGTGAACATTCTATTTGGTGTTTGGGTCCACATTTATAGACAAGTAGTCGCAAACATCATTCCTTTCAAGTGATTACCACATGGCCAAAGACAATAATTTCTTCAAGGTCCTTGAAGGATCCCACTCCAACTTGGCATTGGTTGGTCTTCTCACATTTGCCTGACCACCCTTTGTGAGTGTGTCCCAGTGTCAATTGGCATATAACTTCTCGGTAGGCTCCCATTGAAATAACAGGACTCTCCTCATCGCTGTCTGCCAATCACTTCGGATATCTGGAAGGGTCCTTCCAGACTGTCAACCTGTCATCCGGGTATCTCAAGCTGGACTTCAGTTTCTGCAAAATTATGTATAAAGATTGTAGCAAAAGAAAAGAATTGTTGCAACATGTACTTACAGATAAAAGGCAGCAAATTCACTTAATTTATCATCTTTGAGTTTTGTTATATACCAAACATTTGAGATATATATTGTTCCATGCTGATGAGTTGAAACAATCATTAACTGACATCTCTTAAAAATGTTCCTAGCAACCTATGATTGCCATACAAGCCAAAGTAATAGATGAGGTAGCAAGTGGGCTCATTGAAAGCTCGTAATCGTACCCAATAACATGGGATGTTGTCCATAACAGTCATCATCGGTGCGTCTGGATCGAGCTCATAACATTAATCTCTGGTTTGTCTAGTTGAGATTTGAGATTTGATTAATTTATAATCCTTGTCATTTAGCCGAACTATTGCTGGATGTGGTGTTAAATGAGTGAATTGGGTTTAACGCCTCTTTGAACAGTATTCCAGTTATATCACGGCATGTAAGCTTGATGTGGGAAGAAAGCCCGAAGTGATGCAGGTCTTACATGTTTACCACTTTGATGAAACCCACAAGCAAGTGTATGATGCTACCCTCGATTCAAACCCACGACCATCAGTTTCTGTCAAGCCCAAGAGATGCAACTATGCACAGCAAGTTGTAGTGCCTTTGATAATTAGGCCATCCATGCCAACAGGTGATAAAGAACAAGCAAACTGAAGAAATATTTGCAGAATAGCTACATGAACATGATGAACCAAACAGAATAATTTCAAATATTTACCACTCACTGCTACTCTTCTCTTGTTCCTCATTGCTTCCCTTTTTCCATTGATGCTGTGCAGATGACTGACTCATTCATTCATCCAGACATTCTGCAAACATAAGTAGCATTCACATTAGAGAAATGTCCAAACTGTACATGCTGTACATTGAATTCAATTGAAAAGGCCCCAGTTGAGTTTCCAACTTAGAACTGTCCTTATTAAAATATTTCATCCCAAACATTCAGAGATAAAACATAACCCCATATTTAACAACTGTCAAACAATTATTTGACAACAAAGCCAGGGTCATTCAACATACACTTTACATAAGGAATCACTTGTTGCAAAAAAGATCCTCGCCAAGGTAAGAGTCATTCCATGAAATATTGAATGATTAACATGATTAAGTTATGAAGCTTATACAAAACAAGGACATAACAGTGTAATTATAACAATATCCTAAGCGTAAAAAATATAAAGTCTTTGGTGGCCATTATTGTAAATTATAATCTGTATTAGCATCCCACGAAAGTTAAGAGTTAATAATCGTTCCTAGATCTTGGTACTTTTCTTCATTATCTATAAAAAAGCGGATCTAATTTGGATCATCTTGTTTTGACCACAAATCCATTACGCCTCTTGGATTGAGGCACATTATAAGCTGTTGATATTGAGTCTATATAATTCAAAATCACAAAAAATGTCTCACACGCGTGTAACGGCATGTTACGATGTTTCCCAGAATGACGTCATAGCACATGTAGTGGACAAGGGACGATGAAGTCAATAGGTAGCTGTCTGTGTCTTTTCTAGGCTAAAGTCCTCACTGGGGGCTCCATTGAAACCGGGACTGCTTCTTGACATGAAGGACAGACGCAGGTGTTGTTCGAATTATAGCCAAGTTTATTACTGATAAATGTTTTGAACCCTGAAACAATTGTAAAACATTCATTACACAAAATATAAACATATGCTGACATCAAATATTTCATTACATTTGATGATATATACAAAATGCTATAACTACTAATTGATAAACTTACATCTCATCAAAAACTTAATCTTATATTATAAACCTACTTAACCCGCATATATACTTATATATGTGTATTATATAAATAGAGTAAGATAGACGTGACATGATACATTTACTATGTGTACATACAATGTGCAATACATGAGAATATATATAAAACCTAGTAAACCCACCAAGTGTGTGGACCTGGGTTCATCAGTCCAGACACAGACCTCTGCACAAGTATTACAGCTACATCTGCACGACAAATAAATGAATATATATACACACTGTGCAGACCAATCTGATAGCAGCAATATTACTACAAACCGAAACATAGTGTTATTGCAGAGTAACTTAAAACAATTCTAAAATATAATAGTAAAACCCTGATTCATTCATACATTATACATTCATACATTACACATTCATTTATACCAATATGTTACCTAGCAACATATATGTTTCACATTCTTACTTTCATACTTCATACTTTCATACATCAGCTTCACAGTGATTGAAGATTTAGTTAAATAGTATTTTAAGCATAAACTTAGCACTTACTGAATTATTTACCTTACGTAAATAATAACACTTGTAATGCATACAGAAATACAACTAATTACTATGATCTGGCGAATATTTACAACATGACCAAAACAGCCAAATTATCAAGAGCATAAACACAATATACCTACAAATCCTAGGAATACGCACAAACAATAAAATATCATCAAAAGACCAACCTTTAGAAGTGAATTCCAAAATGTCCAATAGATCAAACACCACAATTAGTCCAAATTGTCCAAATTGTGAATTCCAATGATATACGTGTGTTTGACAGTAACATCAAATGTGCTCTAAACTGTAGTAAAACTAAACCCTTTAAAACTGGAGACAGTAAGCTAGAACCTGAAACACAAAGGGGCTTTGAGGGGCGCGCTTGGGCAGGCTATTGTGTGATAGTGCACTAGGTGATTGAGGCTATGGCAAAGTACTCATGCAGTAAGCTGAAACAGAGAATTAGGAGAGCTGAAGTGTGAAGTATATAATGTTTAAAACATATTTGACTGAATATTTAATTCAGTAAAAATCTAAACTGATAAAACTCTGAAAATATATACAATTATCGGATCCTGTCACATACTTCTCTCCCTTGAATAATGGCGTCCTCGTCATTCCGGTTCTTCGTCAACAAGGGAAAGCAATGCCTTGGAGATGCTGGTGCTGATGTGTCCTAAAATGCCGGTCGCTGCCAGTTGTTCCAGGCGTCGACTCCTCTGCTGCCAATCTGGGTGAGAAGTCTGGCACATCACATAATCTCCGGAGGTTTGCCAGGCAGGCTTCCTTGTTAGTCTACCAGTTCTTCTTGGTGCAGGTATGGGTTGGGGATTAGTATCAGGTGGTACAGGAGGAGGTAGCTCTTCTCTGACTGAGTCTTCCGGCTCCTCTTCAGTGTTTTCTGGTGGTTGCACTGCTTCAGGATCTGCTTCTGTGCTGCTGTCTTCTTCAGGTATGTGGTCGTCACCACCAGAAGCATCACCTGCTACTCCAAGAGACTGTAGATCGTCACCTGTTGTCTCTGAAGTAGCCGCACTCTCTTCCACAGTGTCTTCACTGATGATGGTAGCATCCTCAGCAACTGCTGGAAAATAGAATGGAGCATCATAGTCAGACTCTTTATCCTCCTGGATATCCTCTTCTATAGTCTTCTTCACTGTCTTTCTTGGTCTTGGAGTTGGCTTCTTGGCTGCTGGTACTCTGTTATCCATGATCGCTGGTACTGATCCAATGGGCAGGAGATGGTTTCTGTGCAACGTCCTCTTCCTCCCTTCACCAGATTCTTTCTGCACTACAAACACAGGGATATCCTGGTTTGGTTGCAAGAGAACAACATAAGGATCTTCCTCCCAGCGATCTGCCAACTTGTGCTTACCATCAAAGGCTAAGGCTTTCACCAGAACTCGATCACCTGTCTGTACAGTGGCCCCTCTAGTCTTCAAGTCGTAGCTGGCTTTCTGTTTGACTTGGGCAGTCTTTGATGCCTTTGACGCCAGGTCATAGGCTTCTTGGAGCTTCTTTTTCAGAGACTTTGCATAAGCTGTCAGAGACTGATGATTCTTGTTGGTCTCGATCCCAAAAGCAAGATCTACAGGCAGACGAGGTTCACGACCAAACATAAGGAAGAATGGAGACTGGTTTGTTGAATGATGCCGGATGCTGTTATAGGCGTGGACAAGGGGAGCTACATAGGTCTTCCAATCTGCTTTCTGGTCTGGTTGGAGTGTTCCCAACATATTAAGCAGTGTCCGGTTGAAGCGTTCAACCATACCATTGCCCATAGGGTGATAGGATGTTGTCCGGCTTTTCTCCATTCCCAAGAGGCTGCACAATTCCTTCATAAGGCGGCTCTCAAAGTTGGTGCCTTGATCACTATGGATGCGCTTTGGAATCCCATAGTGCATTATAAAGTTCTTGTAGAAGGCTTCTGCTGTTGTTTTTGCAGTCTGATTCCTTGTTGGGATTGCTTGTGCATACCTCGTAAAGTGGTCTGTGATGACTAGAATATTCTGGTGACCTCCCTTTGATGCTTCCAAGGTTAGAAAATCCAGACAGACGAGCTCTAAGGGCTGTGTGGTGATGATGTTGACCAGAGGAGCACGTGCATTGGCGGGGGATTTCCTTCTCAAACATCTGTCACATCTTTGGATCCAATCTTCCACGTAGTTGGTCATGCCTGGCCAAAAGAACCGATCTCTTAGGAGTGACAGTGTCCTCTCTCTTCCAGGGTGTCCCACTTCATCATGAAGTCCTCTGAGCATATCCTCAATCAAGGCTGATGGTAAAACACGCTGATGTCGTTCTTGGCCGTTAATATTAACTTTCCTGTAAAGGATTCCTTCTTGAAGAAACATGCTGTCAAAGTTCCTATGCATGGAGGTATTGGCTTGACAAGGGGGATAATCCTGTCGTCTTGGCTTCCTGTTACTTCTCACCAAGTTAATCCATGGCCTAAGAATGACATCTGCAGCTTGTGCCTTTCTCCAGTCCCTGTCTGTCATCACTTTAAGGTTCTCTCCATGATCTTCTAGGCTTTCTAAATCTGGTGCTGCTGAACAACAGAGGCTGTGTACCAAAGGATGTTCCTGCAAAGTGTGACAAACAGCTCTTATTGACTCTGATGTTATCTGTTGTCTTTCAGCTTCTATTCCAGGCAGCCTGGAGAGTCCATCAGCGTCTGCGTTGTTGAGCCCTGGCCTGTAGATTATATCAAAGTTGTATGCTGACAAGGCCGCTAGCCAGCGGTGACCTGTAGCATCCAACTTTGCAGAACTGAGTACATAGGTCAGAGGGTTATTATCTGTATATACACTGAAAGTATTGCCATACAGATAATCCTTGAACTTTTCAGTCACCGCCCATTTCAAAGCTAGAAATTCGAGACGGTGAGCTGAATAGTTGTTCTCTGCCTTGCTCAGTCCACGGCTTGCATAACTGATGACCTTCTTCAATCCATTCTGTTCTTGGTACAAGACAGCTCCCAGTCCTTGGCTACTTGCATCAGTGTGGACTTCGAATGGCTTGGTGTAATCCGCATACCCAAGAACTGGCTGTGTTGATAAACATGTCTTGATTGTCTTGAACGCAGTTTCCTGTTGTGGTCCCCATTGCCATGGCTTGTCTGGCTTGTTAGCTGGATGGTTCCTTCCTCGTGTCTTGGTCTTTGTGGCTGGCATCAAAGCTGATAGAGGCTTGGAAATCTTGGCGAAGTCCTTGACAAATTTCCTGTAATAACCTGCAAATCCAAGAAACTTCCGTATCTCATCTGGGTTTGCAGGTGTAGGCCAGTCCAAAATCCTCTGTATCTTGTCCGGATCTGTCTCGATACCATCTTCAGACACAATGTGTCCAAGAAACTTGATCTTGTTCTTGAAGAAAGAACACTTGTCGGCACTGAGCTTCATTCCTGTCTCTCTGGATCGTTGCAGTACTTGGGTAAGCCGTTCTAAATGTTCTTCAAATGAGCTGGAAAAGACGATGATATCATCCATGTAAATAAGGCAAATCTTGAGGTGGAGTCCTTCGAAGCATTCGTTCATCACCCGTTGATACGTTGCAGGGCTGTTGCAGAGACCGAACGGCATACGGTTGTATTCGAAGAACCCCAAAGGACCTACGGTGAAAGCTGTCCTTTCCTTGTGCAATTCCTCAATTTCGACTTGATGATATCCTGACTTCATGTCCAGTGTACTAAAGAATCTTGATCCTGCAAGTGCGTCGAACATCTCGTCTATCCGTGGCAGAGAGTAAGAGTCTTTGATAGTCCGATGATTCAGCTGTCTAAAGTCGACACACATACGTAGTTTCCCATTCTTTTTTCTGACTAAAACCACATTAGATGACCATGGGGAGTATGAGTGACGGATGACTCCACATGCAAGCAGTTGTTGAAGGTGTTCCTTAACTTCTTGGTACATTGATGGTGCAATCCTTCTATGTCTCTGCTTGAAAGGTCGTTCATCCTCAAGGTCAATCCGATGCTTAACATTAGGGACATGTCCTAAGTCTGTCTCGCCATTGGAAAATACATCCAAGTACTGTGAGATAACCTGCTTGCCAATCTTCAACTGTTCAGGTGTGACTGCTGCTTCCTTGAAGTCCATGAGGTTGATAACATCCTGACCTTCACCTTGACTTTCACCCTCAGGAACATCCTCAACATTAACGACCTGGAGTTCACACAGTACAGAACGGGATGGAATAGCCACAGTCCTAGTTGTTACATTGGCAACATGTACCTGTACCATAAACTTGTCATCATGATGGTAGTTGATGATAGTTGGTGCTATATCGAGGTCAGATGGTATGGCAGATCCTGTAGTTGGTTGCACCATGGCACATGTATCCCTATAGACAAGAGGCTTAAAAATATAACCTTCAATAACTCTTTCAGTGTTGGGTGGTATTATAACTCGTTCCGTCTCAGCGCTTCTAATCCTTCCAAGTGAGAAGTTGTTTCTTGCCAGTTGTTTCTCCTGCAGCATCATATTCCTGAAAGCCATGTACCAGGCTGTATGAATATCTGCCTCTTGGAGAAAACGAATTCCATACTGCTGTTTGCAGGTGTCCATACAAGTTGACAAGATGTTTGTACCTAATAACACAGGAACTGTTGAGTGGTAGGGTGTATCTGGAACGACTAGTAAGATACATGGCAGTGAAGATATGGCTCCTGTATCTTGCAACTCAACCTCGATGTGGCCATAATACGGAAGATGCTGTCCATCTGCACAATCAATTTGTAAAAATACATCCAAAGGCTTAATGGGAAGTTCTGAGAGAAACTTTGTATAAAAGCTGTGGGAAACAGTTGACACAGTAGAACCTGTATCAAAAAGAGCTGTGGCTTTAACTCCATTAATGTAAACTGTGCCTTCATTTGGTTGACCTACTAGCTTGGCAACTTGCTGGTTATTGATGGGGCGCCTCCTCCTATAGCCTATGGCTTGCCCCGTCCCATAGGCTTCTTCCTGTTTAAAGTGCGCCTGTGGTCAAGAATTACACGGCAGCCGTACTGTAGATGTCCTGGCTGGTTGCACCTGAAACAAATGGGCTCTCCAGTAATGGAATCCTTAGAGGGTCGCTGATTCCTGGAATCCCCTCTCTCGCCCTGGTACCATGATGGTGTTCCTGGCGGAGGTGGCCAATACTGTTCAGGTGGAGGCTGCAGATTCGGTGATGGTCCTATAGGTCCTGGGTTTCTATTCATCCAAGGGACAGAGGGAACAGGGAGTGTAGTAATCTGTTGCTTCTTCAGATCTGCAACCTCGCTTGACAGCTGTCTCAACATTCCCTTTATCTCCTTCATCTCAGTGTCCTGTGTGCTTACAGCAGCCATATTAGGAGTTGAAATCTTCTTCTTGGCTCCAGCTCCTCTCAGCTGCAAATCTACTTCAGCTCTCCGCAGGGCTCTGAGAAGATCATCAACGGTGCTTCCCTGGTCATAGATATGAGCTGTATGATCCCGAAGTTCTGGCCTTGACCCTGACCATAACTGTGTGCGAAGCATCTCATTCCTGGTTGCCTGGGGAACTGGTCCTTGTGCTTCTGCTTGGAGGAGTGAATGCTCCAACCTGCATGCCCATAAAGCAACTTCTTCTGTGGCCTCTTGACGTGAGCTATAAAAGTTAGCTAGTAGTGATTGACCCCTATCTACACTTCCAAACGTAGCCTCTAGCTTTGAAATGAGCTGCTTGATATCAGCCTCAGGCCCAAGGCACATGGCAACCGTTGCTGCCTTACCACGTAGGGATTGTTGGACTATGTTAACAACAGCCTGTGGTGAAAGAGACTTGTTTTGAAACAAACACTCAACATGATATTTCCAAACATCAAAAGATGTTTCGCCCTTCTTGTCACCAGAAAATGATGGAACCTTTGGTGCCTGTGATAATGTAACAGGTGCTAGAGTACCTTGGATAGAAGGCGGGATGGACGAACCACCCTCAGCCTTGACCTTGGTCTGAGTGTATGCTCGCATCCACTGTACCAGGTCTTCTGGATTATCAACAGTAGGCCAGGTACCAAGAGCCTGAAAAGAAGAAATAAGTTTCTCGAACTCTTCAGGTAGTGGTTTACTCATGATGCAATAACATGAGCAAGTGATAAGGAAATTATAGGGGATAACATAAATGTTGTGTCAACAACCATACGCAGGATACCCTTGTGTAAGCAAGTGATACTACAAATATATGATTGTATGTTCAGGATAACCTGAACAACAAAAACATTATGCAAATGAGTGTGTGCTCATGGCATAATGACCAACAAGCTGAGATGTATGAGAAATACCTGAAAGAAAATGGCCAAAAAAAACTAAAACGTGAAGATAAAGAACATCATATTACTTCACATGTGTAGAAGATACCGAGGGAAAAAAAAAGTTGAAAGTTGTGCAAACAGCTGTGTTCATGTGCACATGCAGTGTATATCTACGCGCGCGGGGACAATATAATGGGACTGGGGGGAATGCTTATATACCAAAGTTAACTATAAACCCAGCAAAACGCAAAAAAAAAAACAACCCGAATACAATCCATATTGACACACATGAAGACATAACTGCAGCTGAATAAACAAGAAGGTATTGATCTACCACAAGACAAGTAACAACAATAATACAAATACCACTGAACTTGG